AGCCCTCGGGCCTCAAAGTGACAGCGTTCAGGACTCCTAAAAGGAGTAACCACTTCCCTCGTCGCTGGGCGGAGCTTAGGAAGAGCGCACAGAACTCAGCTGACCGACCAGCTCACTTCCGAGGCTCCCTAGCAGAACACTCCTCCCTCCCTCCCCCCCCATCTCTCTCTCTCTGTCTCTGTCTGTCTGTGGTGCTGCCCATAGAACTCAGGAAACCTCTAGTGCTTTTACTGTTTATTTTTGCATCACATCTCCAGTATATATTTTTTGTTTGTTGTTGTTTGAGACAGGGTTTAAAAATGCAGTCCGGATGGTCCTATAACTCACAGACATCCGCCTGTCACTCACTGCCTCACCGGTTCTGGGATTGAAGGCTTGTGTCACTATGCCCAACATTCCAGTAAACTCCATTCTCCCCTCTCATAAGGGATTTAATCAATTTAGAATACCAACTGAAGCTGTTGTTGATAACCATTAAACGAAATGGTGTATTCCAAGAATTAGTTTTGTTTATCCTTGGTTGTGACATCCAACAAATAGCACACCACGAAGTTCCACGGACCCAAATAGATACTACATTTAGAAATAGAGTGCATGGTGGTACGTACCTTGAATCCCAGCTACATAGTGAGACGCTGTCTCAAAAAAAGAAAAAAAGTGTTCATATGAAAAACAGGGGCCTGGGTGTCCCAAGAAAGCTTCCAGAAAATATAAGAAAAAAATACTATGACCTTATTAAAGACCCAACATATGTGCCTTATTTAATATTTAAGAATTGCACGTAAAATATAACAATGTAATTATCACTTTCTGAAAATTTCATAACTTCTTTGAAAACAAGAAACAGAGATTTTCCATTATCTTTATAATATTTTTAAACTTTAAATACAATATTCTCTTGTAAATGAATAAAACTTCTGTTGCTTAAAGTCTTCTTCACCCCCCCCAAATATATAATAAAAAGGAATTTCATGGATACTAGTATAGGAAAATCTTAGAAGCCATCACTCTTCACTTAGATACTTTAAAGCTCAACTGGTTACATGTAGGACATATATCTGAGAGTCCCCCCTGTCTGAGTTCTGCTTACTTCTCTGGCCATAGTCTACAGCACTAAGCCAAATATTTCACAAACTGCAGGAGGATCATGTCATCAAGTAAGAGAGAACTGGAGTGTGAATCCATTCCAAATCCTAGAGGGGAAAAAAAAAACTCATTATTTCCACCTCATGATAACACAGAGGAATGGGGTACACATATAAGCTTGCCACAGCCTTATAAAATACTAGCATAGCATCTTACTCGAATCAGCTCCACTTAAGTGGTTGATAAGTTTACAGAACAGTCAGGAAGATCAAACAAGTATTATGATATATAAAGGGAAAATATATTATGAAACATGAAGTTTGTACACTTACCTGTATTTTATAACAATGATATATTTTATTTTCCAATTCTCAATTTAGAAATTAAAATACCATTTCCCCAAAAAGTCATTGGTATAATCAATCTACTTAGGTTTGTTTTTTTGTTTGTATTTTTCTTTTCCTGAAACAGGATTTCTCTGCATAGCCCTGTCCTGGAACTTGCTTTGTAGACCAGGCTGGCCTCGAACTCACAAAGATTCCCCTGCCTCTGCCTCCCAAGTGCTGGGATTAAAGGCGTGTACCACCACCCCACTCTCCCTACAATCCAACCCTCAACTTGTTTAGATTTTTGAGACAGGGTCTTCTGCTGTAGCCCAGGCTGGCTTGGACCTTACTATGGTACATATAGGGTGTCCTTGATCTCTCCTTAGCCTTTTGTGTGTCAAGAATTGAAGCATTAGCCATCACACCCAGCTCCACTTGTGTTTTAGAAACAAAATTTTCTTCATTGTTAAACAGTTCCAATAAATAGGAGCAGCACTTAAGCTATTGTGTCACGAATGTTCTATGCATTGGGAGTGTGGCTCTTCCTCACCGCTTTTTGTTAAGCAGACTGCACTGTAGGCCCCTACCTTGTTTATCTTTCATGCTGCATCAAAGAAAGAAATCAATGTGTTCTGGTCATAGCTGTCAAGAATCTCCAGTAGAATGGGTACTTTGGTTTTTACATTAGTGCCTTTGAACTTGAATTTATCTATGAAAAGATCAGTAATCATACCTATAAAGAAAAATATTTCCTGTCATTGATTAGTTCTTTAACAAAGCAGTTAGTACTCTTTAATCACCCAAAATTCCATTATTCAACATATACAAGCCTTGAAAATGTTGGTCTTCAAAAAAAAAAAAATAAATGTGCATGTGGGGAGGGTTTTAAGCAACTTTCAAGATATAAATATTTAATAACCTTCTTAACAACTGGTTATAACTGCTGATTCACACAATCCACTGCCAGCTATTTTGAATCGCTGTCAGCACACACTTCATCATAGTGATATCTGTTCCACCAAGAAGCTTCAACTGAACTAAAACACTAAATACTGGATTTGAAAGACCCCCCATGGGGTGGGACCCCAGGGTGACCACTCGGGAATTCGGTGACCCCAATCACCAGGTGGAGACGAGGACTTGATGCAATTAGCAAGAGGCTTTATTGCAGTTGTTTAACGAGCTAACCCCATTAGCTGGGGCCTTTCATCCATCCACCATGGTGGATGGCTGAGGAAAGACCCCGAGAAACCCTGGGACAGAGATCTTGTAGGATAGCATAAGGGGAGTGTCTTGGGGTAAGCACAGGCTCAGGATTGGTGTGCCTCCAGGCTTGGAGGACTTGCCCTGTGTTGATTGGTCAACTGGTTGTTATGGCCTATAGGTCCTCCCAGGGTGGTTGCTATGCTCTGCACGTCATTGCTGTGCACTTGTCTGCACTTAAAGCACACTCAGAGCCAAAAAAGCATAGCAGCTAACTTCTGATTGGTTCCTTGCAGGCATCTGACCTCCTAGTGACCAAGGCAAGGTCAGGCAAGCATGTGTTAGACTGTTATGGCTGCCAAAACGGGGAGCTGGTCCCTTCAGATTCATAGGTCAAGGGCAAATTATTTCACCTGTGAGTTTCCCACAGGGATGGTCTAAATTGTCAATCATTTATACAAGACCCCTGAGACATGTATATTTTAGGAATAGAAAAATGAGAAAAATAATATATGGGTGGTATTGATCCAAAGGCAACATCTGATATCAAAATGGCAGTACTTTTGCAATAAAATATATAGGCAAATATATTTTTTGCACCAAGTGGAATAGAAAAAAAAAGATTAGAAATAACCTGTCAATTTAAATCAGATTTTTATCATGAAATCATTTTGCTGGTAAATGATTTACAAAGGTAAAATTTTGGTTTTCAAGCCACTTTCTAGATTTTGAAATCACAGAAAAGAGATGATAGACCTACAACACCATCACTTAAGAATATTGTAAAAGAGATCCTGTGCTTGCCATATAATGAACATTAAAATATTATTACTGATCATTTGGTAGAAAGTCTATAGGTTAATGGATCAGTATGGACTGATGGTAACAAATGACCTTGGCACAGGGCAGAAGTCATACATTTCAGGGAAAGAAGGTCCCAATGAAGGCTTTGCCACTATCTAGGAATGTGATGGCAAACTTTACTCTCATGTTTAGCTACAGAATATTGAAAATGAAGATAAAACCATCTACCTTGTAGAACTGTTGCAACAGTTAAAAAAAAATCTCATGGAAGTCAGTGTAGTGTGCTGCACACAGTAGGTCTTACAGAAGGACTGCTAACAAAATTTTTCTTAGTCTGTTCCTCCTTTCCACCCTCCTTCCATCTCTGTCATCACTTCTCTTGATCTTTTCTCTATCAATATAATCTTAACATATCTGGCTCCTCACCACCAAAGCAAAACAAATTTTAAACTGTAAATTTAAACATCACATAAACTTCCCTACCAAGTTTTGCCTAGATAGAATACATGCTGCATTTTTACAACAGCAACAGCACCTGAAAATCATCTGTGAGAAATACACTGGGAATGTGTAGGCTTTGAGGGTTGAAACACTTCTTCATTATATATATATGTATATATGTTCACATATAATTCCACTTTCACATTTACTTACATTTTTAAAATAGAAAAGGTTAAGCTGTAAGACTACCTTGGCAAATACAGAAATATTCTGTACAATAAACTGGCTGACACAGGCTCATGACTGCTGTGATTTCTGCCTAGCTCCTTTCACAACTCTTTGGTAAATAAATTGCTGGAAAGAATTGCAGCAGGCTATGCTAGAAGGTCCACTCACCATAGAGCCTTTCAAGATGTGCAGGCTGCTTCTTGTACTCTTCTTGTAGATGATCTGCCTCTTCTAGAATACAGCGGTATTCTGGAATCAGAAAGTTCGTATTTCCCTCGTGAACCTGCAATTCCTTATTAAAAAAAAAAAAACAAAAACAAAAACAGAAGCACCTTAATGGTCAAATTTTAATCTAGTGTAACATTAAAGTAGAACTGGAAAAAAACCAGTGCTAGCAAGCATGCTCACAATCCCACTGATGCACAGCCTTACCTTCAAGGCATCAATTAACTGCACTTTCTTAGCCAGAAGCAACTGATACTCCAGCTTTGGGTGGATTAGCTTTAAAGTATGCTTGACTGACACTTCGTTTATCTCTAGAAGAAGTTGGTCAGACACAGTTAAGTCACTTTCATGAGAAACATTGCTATTATAACAACTGTAAAAAACTGGGATGAATGATTTTCCTTTTTTTACCGTATGATATGTTGAGATTAATTTTCCTTTTGGTAGCTTCTTTAGAAAGCACATCTTTTAGGATAGATATTGTAGAAATATTGTCAGATTTAAAAACTCCTTCTCCTTTTCTACAAAGCAATGCATTTTTAAAAGAAAAGTTATAGGAAGCAGTGGTCTTATAAATACATATTTTTACATAGTGTTTAGTTTAAATTTCATTTGACTTTACATGGTCTGTGTGTATCATTCACATAAAGCATACTTAAACATGTACTCTGTCCTTTACCATACCAAGGCAGCTCCTGAACTCAAAACTAAAGATCCTATTACACACATCTCTCTTAAGATGAGAATTTTTAAGTACCCCACTTTTTTTTTTTTTTTTTTTTTTTTTTGGTTTTTCGAGCCAGAGTTTCTCTGTGTAGTTTTGGAGCCTATCCTGGCACTTGCTCTGGAGATCAGGCTGGCCTTGAACTCACAGAGATCCACCTGCCTCTGCCTCCCGAGTACTGGGATTAAAGGCGTGCACCACCAATGCCCGGCAAGTACCCCACTTAAAACTTTTCTTTGTGGACATTAATACTGCCAATAGCTAACCTCATATATAAAATATATTCAGAATTGCTTATTTATACACACACATATAAGTACGTTTTTCTTTAATGTAATCACACAAATAAATTATAGTATTGCTGTATGCTTTATCTTTAAAATAAATCTGGTATCCAACCTGAAAGACACCTATTGTTTTTCAGGACTAGCATCCACTGCCTCTAGTTATGATCCCAGGACCCTTAGTTTTCTTTAGGAAACTCTACTTCTCATGTCAGGAAAAATGGAGCACACTTGTAATCCCAAGAATCAGAACATCCCACCACGCACAAGGATAAATTAATATGGTCCACACTGCACTTTCAGATATTTAGTGAACAATGAAAATTTCAAACCTAAGAATCATGGAAATTAAAGAATTCTTTTTTCACAGACATAGAAAAGTCTCAACATCATAGCAGAAAATTTCCCTTAGTTAGACAAAGAAATGGCTATATAGATACAGAGGCAGTTAGAGTGTCAAGCAGACAGGGCCAGACCCTTGTCATTATAGTTAAATGACTAAACATTCAGAACAAAGAAAATACATTGAAAGTGGCAATACAGGATCATCAAGTCATATATAAAGGCAGGCTGATCAACAACAGCAGAATTTTCAAGAGATACTTTAAAAAGCTGGAAAACTTAGAATTTTCAAGTTTTGAAAAAGAGTAACTGTTAACCCAGACTACTACTCCCAGAAAAGCTATCCATCACAATTGAAAGGGCAAGAAAAATTTTCCATAATAAAAACAATTCATATGCCAGGCGGTGGTGGTGGTGCATGCCTTTAATCCCAATACCCGGGAAGCAGAGGCAGATGGATCTCTGTGAGTTCAAAGCCAGCCTGGTCTACAGAGTGAGTTCCAGTACAGCCAGGGCTATTTATACAGAGAGACCCTGTCTCAAAAACCAAAATAAATAAATAAATCAACCAAAAACAAACAAAACCAAACCAAACAAAAAACAATTTGTGATCATTAAGCCAACTCACAGAAGATACTTGACGGAATTCTCTGACTGAAAAAAAGACAAACACATCCATGGGGCCACGAGGGAAGAATAAACCATTCTTGAGTAACAATAGTTAAGCAGGAGAGAATAGGAAAACACCAAAATACTGCAAAATCAACAAAAGGACAGGAATAACACAAACTTTTCTGTTATAAATATAAATATTAATGCCCCCAATTTCCCATTCACCAGTCACAGACTGCAGAAGGGACTTACAGGCAGGACCTACCTATCTACCTGTTGTCTCTAAATCCCACACCTCACCATCAAAGACAGAGGCTACTGGAAGGTAGAAGAAGGAAGGAAACACTTATCCTAAGCAGACAAGGTAACAAACAAGCATCTGTCACTGTTCTGAAATCTGGCAAAATACACTTTAAACAAAAACTAATCAGAAAAGGTAAAAAAAATTACCTTCATACTGATTAAAGAAACAATCTGTCAAGAGGACATTACAATTCTGAACATGCATGAACTGAACATGGGTCTATTCTATCTCATAAAACAAGTACTAACAGAGATAAAATCACAGACAGGTTAGCCCAACACAATAATATAGGAGACATCAATACCCCATTCTCATTGATTGATAGATCATTAGGGCAAAAAATAGAGACATCTTAAATGGCATCATAGATTTAATGGGTTTAACAGATATCTTTAGAACATTCCATCTGAAAATTGTAGGAAATTATAAAATATTACTGCAGATTTTATAGACATATTATTGGAAAATATTAATTTTTGCATACACATTTTTACTAGTAACATTTTACACTCAAATTCTATTTGTTTAGTAGCTCCTGTTGAACATCACTGATCTTTTTGTTGTTTTTTTGTTTTTTTTCGAGACAGGGTTTCTCTGTAGGTTTGGAGACTGTCCTGGAACTTTCTTTGAAGACCAGGCTGGCCTCGAACTCACAGAGATCCACCTGCCTCTGCCTCCTGAGTGCTGGGATTAAAGGCGTGTACCAGCACTCAGGCATGTTCACCCTGTGAACATTAAGGACACCAGATCTCATTACAGATGGTTGTGAGCTACTATATGGTTGCTGGGAATCGAACTCAGGACCTCTGGAAGAACAACCAGTGGTCTTAACCACTGAGCCATCTCTCCAGCCCCATTACCAATTTTTAATTACATTATTTTGAAATTATTCCTGTTTTAAATGACTACTTGTTAGCAAGTAATAAATTTGACTTACCTGTATACGCATTCGAGTTGTGTATCCAGAAAGGTATTCTGAAAGTAAAATGTTGCAGATTCTCCTGCTGGAGGCTTTTCAGGAACTTCAGGCAGGCAGAACACCACCCAGGAGTGAACTTCAGCAAAGCTGAACTGGCCTATTAGAGTCAATGTATTCATGGGTCTGCAATTTAGTAGTAGAGACATGTATTTGTGTGTGTGCTTCCACGAAAATACTATGCATATACATGTGTAAGCAGAATTCCAAATATGGTTAAACACTTTATTATAGGACTTTTAATTTTTATATAGGGGTTATGTAGCCCAGAAACTCACTACATACCCCAGGCTAACCTCACGTGCATGTCAATCATGCATGACACTCCCAAGTGCAAGAATTACAGGTGTGTGATACCACTCTCAGCTTTAAATAAATACTTTTAAAAGTTTTCTGAAATTAATCTTACATATCAAACAAATGAACATTTTAATTCTACAGATAAAAATCTGAATTCTTGTTTATGCCTATACTTGTTTTTGCTAGGCGCCTTACAGTTAGGTGATGTGAATAGCTTTTTTTGTTCATCACAACATGCTTTAATAAACTAAATTGAGGTTATTCAGTCAGCTTTGCATGTTTGAAACTCCATGTAGTATTTGTATTACATAGACTACAAAAAACATATGATTCACCTCCGGGAAATAATCAACATATTATAAACCTGAACAACTGGGCTTGAGGTAGGGCATGGACTCTTCCTCTCTTCTTTACCAGCTGTGTCCCAGTCACAAGTCAGAAAACAGTACCTTATATATTGCATGGAATTAGTTTAACAACTTCTATAAATTAATATAATAAAGTAAGAGAGAGATTGAAAAATAAATCAAGCCAGGGTGGTGGCTCACATATGGTAATCCCAGCACCCAGGAGGCTGAGGCAGGAGGATTTGAACTGAAGGCCAGCCTGGATTTGTATGAACCTATCTTAAAAACAAAATTATTAATCAATTAACCAAAAAGAGTTTTAAAATAGATGGGTATTTATAAAGAGCTGAGAAGGTCTAAAGCACACCACAAGGAACTTCAGTGGGATACAGAATCAAGTTAGAAATAAAAAGTTAGAAGAGACTTTTAAGATCTGTTCAAACAATCCTCTGATTTACAGATGAAAAACCTACAACCCAGAGAAATAACAAATCACACAGGAATATAATAGAACCCAAGTCTCTGATTGCCAGTGTTTGCTGTTCCTTCCATGGCAATGCTGTGCCCATTAATGTTAACCTTGACTTTTAAGCAAAAAATGCAACCAAAAAAAGAATCTATTTCTCAGCCATACCTGGTGGCCACATCTTTAATTCTAGCTATGTGGAAGGCTACAACATGAGGATTGCAAGTGTAAGACTAGCCTGGGAAACTCAGTGAGATCCTGCCTCAAAAGATACAAACCATCTCAGGATACAGTTCAGGAATCGATTGTCTGCCATATAGGAGGTCCTAGGTTTAACATGAAACAGAAAAATGGCCAAAAAGGAATTCTTTTAATGTTTCCCAGAAAATTGCCTAAAGAAACTTCCCCCTTTATCTTATTCCAGTTATACAACTTTTTTTGTTTTGTATTGTTTTTCAAGACAGGGTTTCTCTGTGTAGCTTTTGGAGCCTATCCTGGCACTCGCTCTGGAGACCAGGCTGGCCTCGAACTCACAGAGATCCGCCTGCCTCTGCCTCCTGAGTGCTGGGATTAAAGGTGTGCACCACCAACACCCGGCTAGTTATACAACTTTTGATATGCAAGCTGCATTAGGAAGAACATGGCCTTGGCTTCTAACCATAGCTCTGGTTCTTGTATCAAAAAGTGGACTACTTTCCCAAGCCTCTACTTCCCATTTGCAAAACAGAGATATAACCTGTATTGCTCTAAGAATCAAGTCATAATATTTGGGAGCATGACATGGCTGCTGTTCGCTTGAACTCACAGTAGGCATGGTAACTTGCACAAGACTGCTATATCATGTCACAGAACAAGGACACACAAAAAGTTAAAGCTTGATGAGGAAGGCGCCTACATTTTGTAAACAACCCTAATGAATTTAGCTGGCTCTCACACAAAGACATCAAAGTAAAATGGGAATAGGAGGTGGGGCAATTGGGGAGAGGAAGGGAGTTAGTGGGCAAGAGAAAATATGATTTAAATACATTATGAACATTAAAAGTTTCATAATAAACCCATTATTATGTAAAAGTGATATATACTAATAAAATATTTTGAAAATAATAGAAAATATATAAGTACCTGGCCAAATACATGTCATAAAATATTAAATCACTGCTTATCTCTGTCCTTTCCTTTTTCCTTTGCTTAATCCCATGTTATCCTGTCTCAAAAAAACTATTAGCATTGCTGGGTGGTGGTGGCGCACATCTTTAATTTTAGCACTCGGGAGGCAGAGGCAGGTGGATCTCTGTGAGTTTGAGGTCAGCCTGGTCTACAGAGTGAATTCCAGTACAGCCAGGACTGTTTCATAGAGAAACCCTGCCTCAAAAAACCAAAACTAAAACCAAAACCAAAATACAAACAAACAAACAAAAACCCTATCAGCATTAAGATGCTGACATTAGAAATATCAGGAACTATTGTAGTTGACTGCTCTACCACTACTACTTGAGGTGCAAAAGAGGGGAATATGATGTTGAGGTTAACACAATGCAGGGTGTTCATAGGGAACCACTGTGCCATCTAAATGCTAAACACTATTTGCTCACTAGGTGCTTAAGGAAACTGCTACTTCAGTGATCTCAGAATGGCAATAGATGACAGGGAAGTCTAACTCAACACAGCTGCTAAAATAAGGCAAAGTATCTTTATTTTATTAGAAATATTTATTAGAAACATCAAAGCAATAGCTAATTATTAAACATGTAAGTTAAAATAAGTTCTAACTTTTAAATGTTGACACAACTATCAGCTACACAACGTAATATTATTCAGCTGTTAAGAAAAATGGAATTGTGAAAGTTGCAGGTAAATGGATGGAGCCAGAAACGATCATCCTGAGTGAGGTACCCAGACCCAGAAAGACAATCATTACTGTTTTCTCTCATATGTGTGTATTCAATTTTATGCCTTAGGTATGTGTGTGTGTTTCCTTTAGAATACCCACAGAGGTTAGGTGGCTAGTAAGGCACCGGTGTGTGTGTGTGTGGGGGGGGGGATCTCAAAGGAAAGGGAAATAAAATACAGTGTCATATAGGGATAAAGGGGGATTAGAACAGAAGGACTAAATGGAGTGGGGGAGGATGGGAAGACAGGATACAAGAGGAAATATGAAGAGGGATAACTAACACTAAAGGCCTTTTGAAAAAGCCATATGGAACCTAACTATTGTAGGGGGATGCAATACCTCAATTAGACATAATATACTACTAAATCTCCAGTACCAGGAATGGATTTCATCTTTTTGACTTAATGGGATCCTGTAGATTGCACCCCCACCCTAAACATAACAGGGTATTGCCAATGCTATTGCTTATCATTCACATCTTGACAGTAAGACCCTATTACTGAAGATATCATATATTTATGCCATAAAACAAGGAGAAATCTCACTGGAACTCAACTGGTAGCTTGGTCCCTACTGGGTAGCGTTTATAGTGCAGGAAGCTGTTATACATGCTCCTGGGAGAGAAAAGATATCATCAGTCTCATCCACCCACAAACCATGTGAGTTACAATAATGCCCACTGGTGCCAAAGTGGCAGAAATGTTATAGGAGTAGCCAACCACTTTATTAAAAAATTGGATTTATGGTCCATTCCATGAGATGAAACCTATACCTGACACTATCAATGAGGCTAAGACCTTGGTTAGAAATATTCATGAGTTCTAGAGGAACCAATTATTATTATTCTGCTAAAGAAACATAGCAATAAAACAACTCCTAATGACATACTTATTCCCACATACCAGTGCATTGCTCAACCCTCTTCAGAAAAGCTTCTTTTTGCAATAGATGGTTAACACAAAACCCACAACTGGTCAATGTGAAGAGAAAAAGAGACTTTGAAATGCTCAGCACTAAATGGGATGTCTGTATTACAGCCATCTCCTTAAGGTTCAGGGATCTTTGTGGAAGAAGGAGCAAAAAGGTAGTAGTAGTAAAAGCCAGAGGTAGTGATGGCTAACTTCAAGGAAACTGCTTTTCTAGACACAACAGGATGGATGTACATATGAACTCTCAGAAATGGTGTCAGCATGCACAAGACCTGCACAAGCACAAACCAGACAAAATCTTATCATAGAGGAGGGGAAGTGAGAGGAAGTCCCACCTCTAGTCAAGAAACTATTTGAAATTGATAGCTGCTGAGATAGAGAAAAATCAGTCTTCTTCAGTGGAGTGACACTGGGTATGGTGGTTTGAAAGAAAATGGCCCCCAAGGGAGTGCCACTATTAGAAGCATGGCTTTGTTGGAGTAGGTGTGATCTTGTTTGAGGAAGTGTGCCACTGTGTAAGCCAGCTTTGATGTCTCATATGTATGCAAGTCATGCCTAAGGAGAGAGTTCAGTTCCTGTTGCCTTTGGATCAAGATTCAGAATTCTCCAGAATCTTGTCTGCCTGCACACCACCATATTCCCAGCTGCCATTCAATAATGGACTGAACCTCTGGAACTGTAAGCCACCTCAATGAAATGTTTTCCTTTATAAGAGATGCTGTGGTCATGGTGTTTCTTCACAGCAATAGAAACTTAACTAAGAATCTAGTTATATCAACCACATACCAGGGTGGGCCCCATGCTATAGTCTATCAGGACAAACTATACTCCATGTTCATTTGGCTTTTGTTGTTGTTTTAAGAGGGAAAGTACATGAAGTTGGATGGAAAGGGAGTTTGAGGGAAGATTTGAGAAGAGTTGGGAAACAGAAAAAAATATGACTAAAATATATTGTATGAAATTCTCAAAGAATAAATAAACATCTAAATAGAAAAAAATGAAAATATATAAATTTTGTAAAAAGTATTTTGTTTTGTTTTGTTTTTTTTGAGACAGGGTTTCTCTGTGTTGCCCTGGGTGTCTTGGAACACACTCTGTAGATCAGGCTAGCCTTGAACTCACAGAGCTCCACCTGCCTCTGCCTCCCTCCTGGGTGCTGGAATTAAAGGTGTGTGCCACTACTACCCTGCTGTAAAAAGTCTTAAAAAATAAAAATAAACAAGTAAATGCAGTCATGAGATGGTGAGATGGCTCAGCAGGTATATACACTTCCTGTCAAACCTGACAACCTGAGTTCAATCTCTAAGACTCACACAGTGGAGAGAGGGTGACAACTTCCCTAAAGCTGTTACCAGATCTCCACACTCGCACCATGGCGTCTGTGCACCCACATACAATACATACAGACATACATAAATAAATATGAGTAAATAAGATATAATAAAAATGAAAATAAAAGCAGGCTGAATGATGTAATAACTTAAAAACACATCACGCTCTCCCATGTCCTACCTGTCGTGGTCAATAAAGTGCGTTCTCTGATGGAGGGATAGAGGTTTGATGTGGTACTGGCGAACCTGACAGGTTTTTGGCTGAATCCTCGGAGTCACATATGCCTGAAGTGTGCCATACTGGCCTTCAATTGAGCGAATCTGAAAAAAGTGTAAGTCAGCAGTGTAAATATATTTTCAGATATTCACTTAAGTATCAAACTCTTATGTCTAGTCTTTCCTGGACTATTCTGAGGGATAAGAAACATCTGTCAAGCTCTTATATGGCAAGAGTACAGGAAACTTTAAATGATTCTGGCCATCTTTTTTTGTTTGTTTGTTTGTTTGTTTTTCGAGACAGGGTTTCTCTGTGTAGCTTTGGAGCCTATCCTGGCACTTGCTCTGGAGACCAGGCTGGCCTCGAACTCACAGAGATCCGCCTGCCTCTGCCTCCTGAGTGCTGGGATTAAAGGCATGCGCCACCAACGCCCGGCCAATTCTGGCAGTCTTTAACTAAATGAATCACCCTCCAAGTGATCACCATTATGTATGTTCAGTTCAGCTGTCCCATGTTCATCACTCCGACACCATTTCAAGATAAGGCATCATTTTCAAATTGTACCCTGCACATCCAAAGGACGAGTGCATAATATACTTAAGAGTCACAAGAAAATGGGCATACAGAAATTAAAAACTGGGCATACAGAAATTAATTTTTGAAATAACTAAAACTAAATTAGAAAACTTTCTCAGAACTGGGGAATTATATAGAGATGTTACAAATATGTTCACAGAAGCTGGGCAATGGTGGCCCATGCCTTTAGTCCCAGCACTCAGGAGCCAGAGGCAGAAGCAGAGGCAGGTGGATCTCTGTGAGTTCGAGGCCAGCCTGATCTACAGAGCTACACAGAGAAACCCAGTCTCAAAAAAACCAAAATATAATAATAATAATAATAAATAAATAATAAATAAATAAAAAATCAAATCTGTTCACAGATGTTTCCAGGAAGTAAGTAGAGAAGCATATTATAAACCAATTACACCCAGACTGAAAAATTCTTCCTGGATATTTTGAATATGGCTGGTTGGAGCTGGGGAGAGTTCAAACACCAAGAATGATGTACAAAGCTGCTGAGATTTCATTTCAGAGCAATGCTCAAGGGGCACAGCCTCTTCTGTCTGCCCTGCACAATTTTAACAATTCTCCTACATATGGACCATGAGTGGATAAATATGTAAAAATGAATCAGTACAATCCACACATTATATTTGATAATAATTATTATTATCATCAAATTTTGTTGAAGATATTATATAATGTTACATCAGTTTTCTTTAAAAAGAGCACTCATCTTTTTTTTTTTTCCCCAAGACAGGGTTTTTCTATGTAACAACCCTGGTTGTCCTGAAACTTGCTCTGTAGACCAGCCTGGCCTTGAACACAAGGGATCTGCCTATCTCTCTCTCCCAAGTGCTGGGATTAAAGGTGTGTGCTACCATGTCCTGATTTAGCACTCATCTTTTAAATATGCTGACATCTTTACAAATTAAACATAAATACACTGTATTTGCTTCAAAGTGATTTTAGGTCACAAGTAACATAAAATAAGATTGTCATGGGTTGATCATCATGCTTGGATCATTTCCAAAATAAGAAATCAGCAAAGCTGGGCATGGTGGCTCACATTTGTAATTTCAACTAATTGCCAAAGTTCAAGTTCAGCCAGTGCAATAAAGTAAGACCAGATCTCATCCCCACCACCCTTCTTCCCTGACAAAAATGAAAGAAAACTAGAAAATTCCACTTGGAGGAAACTTTAAGAGCAGTAATTTTAGAGACGGTTAATGATTGAGTACTAACAATAGATACAGTGGCCAGGATAAACTAAAACCCAACTGATCATTTTAAAGGTGTTACTTCAAAATGATTCATTTCACAGAGAATTTCAATGCAGACAAATGACATCACAAGTAAGACACATCAAAGGAAAAGAAAGTTCAAACATTCAGAAATAAAGGTAACGAAGCTGGAGAGTTGGCTGAGTGGTTAAGAGCGTGTATTGCTCTTCCAAAGATCCTGAGTTCAGTTCCCAGCCACCCACATTAGGTGACTCACAACTGCCTCTAACTCTGCTCCAGGGCATCTAATGTCCTCTTCTGGCTTTCAAAATCACTGAGCTAACATGTACGTGCACACACACAGCTAAAACTCAAAACTTGTAAAACATGTTCTTGACCATCAAAAAGTAAAAAGAAGATGGAAATAAAGGCAATTTCTAACAATTTACCTTGAGCTCCAGCCTGGTGGTATTTGCTTGGCACCGATAAGTGGCAAGAAGAAAGTTGTCATTTGACTGGAAGAATTTAAAGTTGAGAATCAACAAACACTGTCAGTAATACTGTTCATTATTTACTTGGATAACTATCACTTAAAAAAAATAAAGGTTTAGTGTAGATGGGAGTTCTTAATTGGTCTAAATAACAAAAACCCACAGTCATATATAGAGGAAAATGCTGAGAGATCAGAGAGAAGGAGAAAGTCAAAGCCACCTTCCACCTCCTTGGCATCTCAGCAGACCAGAAAGCAAGTTCCTGTTTCTTCCCTTTTATATCCTCTCTGCCCAGCCATCTCATTTCCTGTCTTTTTATACAGACCTCTAGGCCTTTATGGTTAGCTAGTGGCAGGGTTCATCTTCTGATCTTCAAACAGGCTTTATTTGTACAAGCAAGATATCACCACATATCCTCCTTTTTGTCTCAAAATTGAAAAAAATTATATAACTAATATAAGAAAAACTATATACAATAAGTACAATAAGTATATATAATACATCCAGGCAATAAGTACATTAACAATGACTAGTCCATTAGCGTTTGACAAATTCAGAGAAAATACTCCGTTATTCTTTCTAGGTGAGTCCAAGTCTTGTACTTAATTTACTTTCTATTCTGATTTGCATTATCAAATTGTCTTTTAATATCTTTCAAACTTATTATACTTAATACATCTTTAGTGAATTTCTTTACCAAGTCTGGTAAATAAGGAAAACTATGACTATACTATCTAGTCTTTAACTCCCTCAGAGACCTGAGAAGGAAATAATATTAACTGAGTAAGCAAGAAGTGAAAGAAAGCGACTTCCAAAACATGTGAGAAATGACAGAAACAGTTATGTTAGTTAGGCTTCCTAAATATACAGAGGTATATTTCAAATGGATAGGCATTCTCCAAAACCTTTCTACAGAATATGGCATTTAAAATGGTTTATTAGGGTAGTGAGACATATCTCCTGGCAGCACCAATTGCCTCAAAGAGGAAGATGGGCATCAGAGAAACTCATTATGGAGTTTGCCTTCAACATGGCAGGGATAGCCATTTGGACAAGAAACTGCTCTTGCCTGGACTGCTTGATAGCATGCTGTCCAAACTGGACAAGTAGGTTACAAAGAAAAGTGGCTACTGAACTTGCCAAGGGACAGGATGGTCCTTCAAGGCTCCCGCTTCATCAAAAAGTCTTCCAGACATTCTGGGCCTGTAGGCTGAAGAGAAATGCCCCAACATTACAGAGGAACTTTGAGTGACTGTCCAGGCAGCAAGATGTCTCTGTCAACTCTAGAGTTTATATATTATCCTTCTGGGGTCTTTTTTTTTGGGGGGGGGTTTTGAGACAAAGTTTCTCTGTGGCTTTGGAGGCTGTCCTGGAACTAGCTCTTGTAGATAGACCATGCTGATCTCGAACTCACAGAGATCTGCCTGCCTTTGCCTCCCAAGTGCTGGGATTAAAGGCGTGCACCACCAATGCCCAGCCCTTCTGGGGTCTTTGATGGAGCTGAAGACAGTTATGGTTATGGTTTTCCTTAGTTATGATAAAAGAAAAGTTACACACAAAACTTTAGACTCACAAAGATAGGATAGATGATAGAATATTTTCTTTAAAATTTTTCAAATGTTAGTGGACTAAATATTGCTAACTATAGTTCTTGGTTGATAACTGTTTTGTTACATATAATTTTACTTTGTTAAAGTTAAAACCTTCCTTTTTATTTAGACAGAAAAGAGGACATGATGGGGGAAGAAACATATATGCACTAATGCAGAGAAGTGCAAAGCTATAGCATTTCAAGAAAAATGTTGAAGGGCTTCTTTGGCAGAATGAATGGGCATGAAAAGGGAGATAGCACCCACCCAGGGGTAAGCTGGAGATGTAAGAGCTGAAACACAGGAAGACTTCTCTTCACAATGCAGACCTAGACTCACATCCAGCAGGAAACCTTTAAAAGGTTGTGAGAAATGATTCAGTGACATTTGTGCTTTACAAAGACCTCTCTGGTGGCAGCGTACAGTAGTCTTGAGGTGAGTGGCAGGACTGAAGGCAGAGAAGCTATAGGCATAAGTTGTGTAGCTGGACATGATTGAGTGAGTTAGCACAGGGGGAAGCAACACGAGAGCTGGATGAGAGCTCAGGGGAGTCTAGGAAAGGACCTAGGAGTTTAGGGCAGGGCCTCAGGATCAGGACATCTGAAGAGAGGGAAAAGACATAAGCAGATTATATGAGAAAAGCCAGTAAGTGAATGACAGAAATTGCAGCTTCAAACACTGACAGAACTTACAGAGTTGACCCAAAATGGTCAACAACAAAACCAAGACTTGAAGGTTTTTTGTCTGTTTTTAACTTACCTCTGTGTCACAGCTGCTAAAGCTCACAACAGCAGAATTTTTATCCACATCAAGTAGATCTATTGGGACATCACTCTACAGCAAATACATAAAAACAAAAAGGGTTCAGAAGGAAACCCTAAAGGTGTACACAAGATGTTTACTCTAAGGGTTCTCCTTAGTTCTAGTTCAGTCTTCAAATTTGAGAGTTCGAATAATTTCAGTTTACACCCCTCCTTCCCTGGTGTTGTTGGAGACAAGCTCTCACCATGTACCCCTAGCTGGTCTAAAATTGTAAATGTAGATCAGGCTGGCATTGAACTTACAGAGATATGCCCTCTCTGTGTCTCCACTGCTGGGATTAAAGGCGTGCTTCACTCCTTTTGTAAAAAGGGTCTGCCCAGGGAGTCTGGCCTTAGACCCCTGAGTGTGGGATTATGATGTGCAACACCATGCTCAGCTAATGGTTTATATTTCTAGAAAGTGAGTTCAATAAAGAATAAATTTTTATAATCATCTATTCTTTAATATTGGCTTATCAGAAATTGGAGAACATTCTTATCTCCTTGAAAAATAATCTTCCTGTTTTTGTTTTTGTTATTGAAAAGCGGTTTTCATGGGCTTTAATCATGGGGTTATTCTGATTATATCAATATAAGTGTGTAGTGTGTAAATATATGAATGTGTGTATGGAGATGCACATGTTGGTGTCTTCCTTGGTCATTTTCCACCTTAGTTTTTGAAACAGAGTCTTCATTAAACCAATTAGCTAGACTAGCTGACTAGAAAGCAGGAGTGAGTTAGAACATCTTTGCCTAGTTCTGGGATTATAGACCCAGAGCCACCTATATAAATCCAAACACAAGTCCTAATGCTTGCACTGCAGGCACTGTAGCAACTGAACCATCTCTCTAGCTAACTGTTTTTATACAAGCATACGATCTCCTCAGCAGAGAAGTTTCTAAGAGAGAGCTGCTGCTGCCCTGTGGTGCATGAGACTGGAGCTCCTGGAGTTGTTCAGTGTGGCAGCCTGTGAATTAATGCAATGGAAGGCTTTCTCTAATTAATTATCTGATTTCTTTATTGTATCTTTTAGCAGATAAATTATCTCTTTCCACCTTGATACCCTCCCATTTTTAGGGGGTTTTCATCTAATAAGTTTCCATCTATCCTTTTCAATTTCATATATCCCAACTTAAATAAATAAACCAAAAAGTAGTGTGAGTTACCTATTATTATTATTATTATCCCTAAATTTCACCCCTTGAATTTATGCCTTTGGCCTACCTAGAATCTGCTGGGTTAATAAATAAGCTACCATCGTAGTATCTGGAGATTCAGAAAGCACATTTTCAAAGGATTAAATATTGGAACCTTCCTTGCTCTCTTTTGAGGCAAGATCTCACTCTATAGTTCAGGTTGGCCTCCAACTTGTAGCGTTCCTCCTGCCTCAGACTTGTGAGTGCTACAATTACTGGCCAGGACCTGGCACTTAGCATATATTGGAGCTTTCTAAGCCATATTATGGTTAAGATTCTCCCAGAGGGAGGCCAAAGAAGGAAATCCTGGTGTTCTTTCTATTTCTCCTGGAAGCTGAAATTCACACATCTTTTGATTATTGAGTATACAATAAATAAAATGTAAAGATATAACTCAACCTATAAGTAAATTGACTACCTATCAGAAGATCAATAATCTGTAAACATTTACAATTACTGTCTAGAATTAGAAATGTTTATTAATAATAAGGGCACACAACTGGTTTGCAAAAAACAAAAACCAACAAACAAAAAACCCAGATCTAGTCTAAAACTAGGAATCTAGGCATTCTTCTTACCTGTATTAAGACATTATCTATTGCAGTCTGCACCTCTAAGACAAGGCTGTAGCTGGCATCATCTTTATTCAATGTAAACTTGTCATTTATACTAAATGAAGGAACTGTTGACTTTGCTTTGCTCGATTGTGAAGACTGTTGGTAGTTTTCTCTTTCCTGCAGTACCTTAAACTGCAGATGTTCTAACTCACTCCTGCAGGAAAACACACACAATCTTATCACCCACAGAGATCCCTACAGTGTGCACAAACATGTCAGATATTTCCTTTTGAGAAGTCTAGCTTAGGGGCTGAGCTAGAAGACTGTTTCACATTGATAGGAACATGTTTGCTTCTATGATTGGCTAAATGATTCCACATCATTTATCATTGATCCAAAAACTAAAACATCTACTCAGTCCAATAGCAGTATTACTAATAGAGCTGTATCAAGACTGCAAATTACCAACTCCAACACATGGTAGCAGCTATACACAGCACTGATCAGAAGAGAAGCCAACACAGTAGACCTGATGAAAAAGACTAAAGCATGCAGCCAGTCAACATAGTTTCTCTATAAGTCTCTAATGTAGACACACAAAATTGATGCAGAATATTAACATTTTGGAAACGACAAGGATGATTATTAACCAGGGGCATCATTGAAGTTCTGTCAAATGTTGGAGCCGATTCTTTATGAGTGCTGTCAAGGGATGTTTTGGTTAAGGGGAAAGGTTATCTGCAATGAAGTAACAGTATGGGGGCAACATGAAGGTTAGCCAGTCTAAATTTAGGGGGAAAGTCTGAGAAGAACATTTAATGGGATATATGCAATAAATCAAGGGAAATATTAATATATCCAAGAAATATTTACTAATCAATATTACATACTTACCTCAGTGTTCTATGTACTGACTGAACAAAATATGTTTGTAACACAGCTTATATTCTATTGTGATAGAGAAGAAGACTGGGGAGAAATGACAGAGGGGAAGACTTGGTGATAGAAGAAAGGTGTTTGGGGCTGGAGAGATAGCTCAGCTGTTAAGATCACTGGCTGTTCTTTCAGAGGACTCGAGTTCAATTCCCAGCACCCACATGGCAGCTCACATTGTAACTCCAGTTCCAAGGAATCTGACACTATTTTTTAGGTATTAAACTGAGTAACATAGCAGTCAGTCACTAACTCTACTTGGTATTTTTTAATTTACTTTTTATTTTTTATATGCATTGGTGTTTTGCCTGGAGGTACATCTGTGTGAGAGTGACAGATCTTGGAGTTATAGTGTTGAGTTGCATGTGGGTACTGGGATTTGAACCCAGGTCCTCTGGAAGAGCAGCCAGTGCCCTTAACCATGGAACCATCTCTCCAGTCCCATACTTGCTATTTTTTTTAAAAGAAGTATGTATGGTATACATGTGTGTACACATGTTTACATGCATATGATGCACCATGTATGGGTGTATATACATGTGTGTGCATATGTGTGTGGAGTCCAGAAGTGGGTGTAGAGCCCTCCTTCCTTGGTCACTCTCTACTTTACTTATTGAAGCAGGGTTTCTCAGTAAACCTAGATTTGTAAACTGCATTTAGTCTAGCTAGTTAGCTAGGAAGCCCTCAGATCCCCCCATCAGATACTGGGGATCTGAACTCTGGTCTTTATGGTTTCCTGGCAAGTGCTTTATCTACTGAGCCATCTCACTATTTCCTTATTGCAGGAACTAGGACACCCTGAATAAATCTGGCACGTTAGCTTGTATAATGCTTTCCTAGTGCTCTTCATAAACAAGATCATGCAATAGTACTTGTGGCATCTGTTGCCTTGAAAGTTCCTAGAGCCTTCAACTACCACCAAAAAGGGTGAGCTCTCACTTCCCTAAGAAGTAAGCAAGTGCTACAAGGGTGTCCAGTCAATAAAAGTTTTATCAACTTCCATTTCCTTATTATATGTGAGCGTGGGGTCAACTTTTCACAGGATATATCAAATTGAGCGGGCCATGAAGGCAATGTCAGCACTGAAGGGAGTCAGCATTATTCAGATCCAGCAAGAGAATTTTACAGATCAGAAGGATTTACAGGAACAGTCAGCATTAGAGTTAATGACAAAGATTAGTCACTTCTCGTCATTTATTTGTAAAGTGTTGGAAAACAAGCAAAACATTGTAACCACCTACAGCTAGGCAAACAAAAAAAAGTGCAATTCTGATCAGTAAGTCAAAAGGGACTAATGAACCTTATGGGTGTGGTACATCACACGTGGACCCAGCACCATGGAGGCAGAAACGAGAATCAGGAGTTCAAGGTCATCTTCAGCTACAGAAAGAGTTAAAGAGAGCAGCCTGGTCTATGAGAGACCTTGTTCCATAAAACAAAACCAAAAAGAATAATGTATAAGGAAGGTATATTTCAAACTCAAAAAATTAATCAACATTTACTGCTAATTTTCTCAGGCCTACAAACTTTTATGAGACGTATCATTCCGACCTATAAAACAAAGCAAGTGTTGTGCCTATGGGTAGCAAGCAGAGACAAATACAAACTTGGATGAGACAGAAACAGCAAAAATGTTACCGTAAAGAGGAAATTTTATTCTGCATTTCCTGATTAAGTTTTAGCTCTTCTCCTGGTCCACTTTCCTTATGAGTGGGCTCTGTTGTCAGCCCTGTAATCCAGCCTGTAAAGATGAGGTACAATCACACTTAGTGCTTTGGGCAAAAGCTGGTAACAAAGCCCCTAGTTACACGCCCTTTGTCCACCAGCATCAACCCAACAACCCCATGGCTTCTTAGAGAATGGAGCAAAAAATTCAAACTAAAGGTATTCACATCATACAGGAAGTACTTATGGATTTTGTGGTACTACTTTTTCCTTGACGTGCTACAATCTTTCAATTCTTAAAAACCTCACTTTTCAAGTATGGTATTGTAAGTCAGTAATACAGTCTAGCAAATTCAAAGGTAGCTAAAAAGTCAGAATTAGCTGGTACTGTTGTCATGGAAACCACACTCAAAGGACTATTGTGAGGATAAAGAAACTATTATCTCTTTAAAGTTAAGTTTTCATAAGAAGTGCATTAGGCTAAAATGTAGTCTCAAATTTAGCAAATACTTCTCTCTAAATTGAAGAAAATAATTTAATTTACTAGAGACAAGCAAACCCTCTTCAAAATATTATCCAATATTAGATCCAACACAGGGGCCCTACACATGTGAGGCAATAAAACCACTGAGCTATGTCCCCAGCCATTTTCCTTATTTTTGTTTAATATTACAGTTATTTGGACAGGTAGGGGAGGAAGAGAGGGGTAAATATGTTGGGGCAGATGAGTGAAAGAAGTCACATAATTTTCAGTAATTAGTTCTCTCCTTCCCCCATAGGGGATCTGGGGATGGAACTCAGTTGTCAGGCTTGGCAAGCACATGCATCATATACCACCTCTCTCTCTCTCTCTCTCTATCTCTCTCTCTCTTCCTTCCTTCCCC